AATTGCACGTCTCTATCAATATCCCTATCTATTGAGATCTCATTCTACTGGATGAGTTTTGAATGCTGTTCACTTCGCCCGTCTAATAAGGTGAAAGTCACTCGTAGGTGCTCAGGGGAGGCCCAAGGTGCGCGCTTGCTCATATCCATACACCCGCCCTGAGGGTAGCCTTCAGGAGACGTTTGGGTGGAAAATGGCCTGCGGAACGACCAAAGGGCCGTCTCCCACAACTATCCCGAATGAAAAAAAGCTATCCCTTTGGGAATATAGTGCCTCTTTCACACGTAGTTTGGCGAATGGTGTCACCTGGCCACCACTGTGCACAGGATCAATTCGGTGATGGCATCTCGTCTAGGCTGTGCCAGACGACGGCACCAGTGTGTATCTTTTCGTTTTTTGGGGGGGGGAGGGGGGAAGATATAAAATAGTTGTCATGGATTACGGAATGACAAGAGAGTGTTTACTTTTTCACTATAAACACGATTTTTTTGGAAATTGCATTAAAATGTCTGAGTGTTTCTAAGCGCAAGGAGAAAGAATCTAGTGAGGTTTTTATTGACTTGCACAAATATTGTACCGTGATTAATTCTGGGCCGCTCCCTTCTTTATGCAAACTAACGTCAGAAATTTGACAAATTGACGCTATAAAAACTCTTGAATAAAAACTTGTCATTTATTTGCTATATTTTATACATCTACCCTCTTCCAAGGCTGTTTATTAGCTATTGTCACAAAACAAATTAAAGCAAAATTAACGCGGTATTGCGTCATCGCCGCTTCTTTGTTTGCGACATGGGGGTAAAAAGTGACGTGGAAAAAGAATGTCTGTATGAATGACCCTTATGGCGCTCGTGATGTGCGGTAGGTTTAGACGCACTGTGGAGCGGCGCGTCGGGGGAGTGGGTTGGGCGGGGGCGGGGGCGGTGGCGCCTTATGCGCGGGGGCGCGCGGCTCTGGAGTGGCGCGGCGCCTGGAATGCGGCATCGGCCGTGGCCGGCCGGGCGCGCGCGCGCCGCGTTTGTACGCGGGCGGCCGCCGCCGCAGCACAAGCGCGAATTGTCCGCGGCGCATTCCTGCGACCCGCCCCCGCCCCCGCGCAAGAGTTGCGATCGAGAGGGCGCTGGGTTCCGGCTCAGCGCCGCGCCGCGCCGCGCCACAACGGACCCTTTGGCCCCACCCGCTCGCCCGCACGACTCGGCCCGGAATCTGAAGAGCGACGCCGCCGCCGCCGCCGCCGGCCTCCAGTGGATGGGGCTCTATTAATAGACAGGCTGCTGCCGCAGTCAACGAAGGTTTCCTATCCGTTCCACCCATGCATTCAGATGCCGTGTTCTTACGCTTAGAAAGGACACCACGGCGGTGAATGATCGTGTGAATTTCGACGGTTTCGATTTTTTTTATTACTTCGGTATTCATTTCGAGAACATATTCGCAGGAAGCATACTGTCATAGTGAACTACGATGAGAATTGCCACGGAATCGGAACATTTTATATTTGTTCAGATACCATATTCTGTGTACGGATTCTTGAAAAAAGTCCTTATATCTTGTAAATTATTGTTAGATTAAAAGTAAATTTTGACATTTTGTACGTCGGCATGTTTTTGAGTTGACAATATGGTATTCTTTTAAAGTAGCGGAAAATCCGTATTCACCTTCCAACTCTATTAAGTCTTGAGTAGAGTATTTGAAACAGAATTAGGTGCCTGTGCATTTTCTTAGTTATTTGAATTTTGAGTCATAATAAAAATACAAGGGAAGCCCGGGTGATGTAGCTCAAAGTACGACTGTTCTCATTTATATCTCTTATTATTCTATATTTATAAACGTTATAAAACGAACAGTATGTTGACATCGAAGTATGTTTCTGTTATAAATGTTTTCACTTTGCAACCGCGTGGGATGGTTCAATTCCTGCAGGAGGGATGAATATCATAGCTCGAGAGAGAAAAGAGTGAAGATAAACACTTCCAGGGTAATGATGAATTGTGAAAGATTGTCAGACATCGTAGTAAAATCACAGTTCTTGCATTATTGGTGTCTAATTTTATTTTATAGAATTACTTCCAACATTTTGATTAAATTTTCTTTTACCATTCTCAGGAATTCAGGATACAAACAACAAAGTACGCATGAATTACACAAAAAGCAACCATTAATTAAATGATCTTTCTATACCCAATGACATTTTGGTTATTCAGTATTTTTTACGGAATTTTTTAATTTTCAAAATAATTATCTTATTGGAGCATCATCTCGATTAAATCCAACATTCCCCACTCATGTCGTATGTATATTCCTTCTTGTATGAAAACCATTGGGGGAGATGCTCTGGGCGGGTGAATAGCAGAATCCTGAATGACATGTCGGCGTTGGATTCATTCACGCGGTTCTACTCCTGTCAGCCGCCGGGGGGAGGGGGGCGGGTCATAGGTTGAGTTGCCGTGCAAATTGCGAGAGAAAACACTCGACGGGGCAGCGGTGGCTTTGGGGCCGGCCAGGGCGACGCAGAGCTCCATTCAGAAGTCAGGTGTGGGATTCGCGCACACGCACTGGTGCGCTGGTGTGGCGTGGTCCTGAGCGGTGTGGAGCGGCGTCGCAAAGGCTTTCGCCGCCCGCCCGCAAGGTCGCTGCCGACCTTGGAAGAACATTCCTTGCCTTTCTTCATGATGTGTTCAAAGACAAGGCACTTTGTGGCGTGTGTGTTAATATAGGATTGTTCATAACTTTTATTTCAGCGGATGTTACTGCGATGTGCCGTCTAACTTCTGTAGTTTTATGTAAACGTTAACTATTTAGAATTGTATAATTTCACGATTTCGAATTGTATACTCTCGGCGAAACTTTAGTAGAATGTATAATTTCTTATATTAGTTGTTAGTCGATTTAGATATACAGTGCATTATTTCACTCATGAATTATCTACAATGATGTTAAAGTGTTCCATCCGTCACTTGAAGTAACATATTTTATCAATGCAATTTTATCCTTTTTGTTTTTATCACAGCCATTTTGCAGCAGCGATGTATACCTGTTTTTAGTTATACATGGCTGTTTTATCGCCATGATCAGCAGTTGCTTTTAGTAAAACTCGGTTGAGTGGTGGTGTTTTTTAAAATGTTTCACTGATTTAAATTTATCATTCACGAAATAATATTTTCAATGCTTTCGAAATTAGTAATGAATTAAAAAGTTATTGTGATATTACCAATGATAAAATACTATTCAGTATTAAATATTTGTGATGTACATTTGTTATTCGTGTGCAAAATTGTGATTGACATTGTAGGACTCTTAATCGCCTCCTATCATAAGATTCTAAATTACTTCTGTGAACCGTGCTACAGTGGTAATGTAATTATCCGAGGTAAGAGACCACCCTGTTTACAGAAACACACATTTTTAGTTTAATGTTACATGCATTTATAATTAATCACACTTTCGGTTTAAAACTTGAATATATCTTGCATTATAAAAACAAAATTACTTTCCGTAAAAGCGTGTGACGCTTTTCTGTAATACCTTCTTGGTTCTCCAGGACGTCGCGAGTTTGCGCGAACGCTGTAGAACTTATACATCGGAGCTTTTAAAAATGCTTTGTATTCGTGATACTGTGACACGGAAAATCCGGGGTCCACTGAAAGCATGCGAGTTGCAAATGGTGGCGGCCGTGGCTGTTGCCGTCGTAATGCCGTAATAACCCTGGAGATTGATATCAACACTGGATATTGATTTGTCTGCATAATTTCAATTTTTTGCCCGTTGACACCAATCTTCGGCGAATTGAAAGATTCTTTGAGAATCTTCTAATTTAGTTCTGTGTGTTGCCTCCGATGTGACCGAGACTAGGTCGTCTACGTACGCGTCAAAAAGGGGTCTTTGTGGACAACTCTTCGTTATTTGAGAGCAGTGTTTTATTTTTTCGCCGCTCTAGCCAACCGCCAGGACCCGTATGTGAATTTTTCAACTAGTTGAACAAAAATTATCACCACGCAGAATCAAAAGTGCTGCAGAAGTCCTTGAAGACAGTGCCATAAGTGATGTCGAAGGCTTCCGCGGCCAGTCAGGCGAATGCTGTCGGCTGTCCGGGTGACGCCGCGTCGAAAGCTGTGAGCATGCACAATCGTTGCACGCTTCAACCCAGAGAAAGATCGCGTCAAGATGGTCGGAACGTGGACATCACAGCGTTCAACACGGCGCCACGCGGAGAGCCGAGAGCTTCGGCATTCAACTATGCCCGCACTGGGTCGATTAGGCACTGGCGGACGGCTGTTTTAGTGTGGGTAGCGCGCACCACGCTGGGACGGGAAGGTATGTCCGGCCCGTCCCGTTCCGTCGCTACCCATCCCGTTCCGTCGCTACCCATCCCGTTCCGTCGCTACCCATCCCGTTCCGTCGCTAACCCATCCCGGTACCGTCCGCTAACCCATGCCCGTTTCGCCCGTCGCGCTACCCATCCCGTCCGTCGCTACCCCATCCGTCGCCGTCGCTACCCACCCGTTCCTCGTACCCGTGTCCACCCGTCTCCGCCGTTGATCCGTCCACGTTCGCGTCACAGACTCACGTCCTGTTCCGTTTCGTCCCTCGTTCCGTTCGTCCTGCCGTCCTCCTGTTCCGCGCCCCGCCCCCCCGCCCCGTCCTGTTCCGTTCTTGCCCGTTCAGTTCCGTCCCGTTCCGTTCCGTCCCGTCCGTCGTTCCAATCCCGTCCGTTCAATCCGCGTCCGTTCCATCCCGTCGTTCCATCACGTCCGTTCCATCCCGCGCGTTCATCCGCGTTCCATCGGTGCGTTTTCAAACGACCGCGTCCGTTCCGTTCCGACTCCCCGCCCGTCTTCCGTGTCTAATGGCCCGCGCCTCAACAATCCAGTCGCCGCTAGGCTTTTCGTGTCTTTCACGTAATTGCATGCTGTAACTGGTGGTGTGCCGTGGCGTAGGCGCGCTGATGAACCTGCCCTGGCGGGCTGGTGCCTGACCACGCCGTGTGCGACGCCGACGCGAGGGGCGCGGCCGCCGCCTCCGCCGGCCAGGCCACGGCCCCGCCCGGGCTCCGACGCGGGCTCCGGCGCTGGGCGGCTCCGCGCGCGGGGCGCGGGGTCGGGCGGCGGCGGGCGGCGCGGGTCGGCGCCAGCGGCGGCGCCAGCGTCGCCTCGCGCGACGCCTCCCGCGACGCGCGCGCCGACGGCCTCTGGGTGCGCGTGCAGGACGTCATCAGGTACGTGCGCATCGCCGCCTCTGCGCGCTTACGTTTAGGCATGCAATTCCATCTTGGTTTATTTGGTTTCTGGTTTATGTGTTTGGATGTTGGTTTACGAATTTGCATATTCACATATCAATTTGTGTATTGTCTTTATATATTTACGGATTGATTTTTTTGTTGATGTATTGAGTTTTATGCGTTTAGATATTACTGTGTGTCTTTATGCGTTTTTGTCCTTTTTCGTCAAAATTTTAAAAGTTTCTTAATAGTTTGCTATAAACCTCTTTACCCAAAGCGAAAGATTGAAACCTGCGTACCTGCTTGAGTGTAAAATAGTGGCTTCAAGAGTTCGGTGCTAATTGCTGCATTCAATATTGTTGTGGCGTTCTCGCACCTGGACTATTCCCCCACTGTATGGTAGTAGCGAGAGACTTGGGAAAGAAGGATCACGCGCAGTCCGTGCGCCTCTGGTGTCCGTCTGAAATCGATCGGAGGGGAAAATGGAAATGATAATAGACGGCCTCTAGAATTCTCATCTAGGCATTTTTGCTAGCCTTTAATAATCTTGCAATTTACAGATCTTGAGCGCAAGACTTCTTTCACTTGGAAGCTTCAGTTGAAGACTAGCAACTACATACGCTATTACAACAGAATTGTATACACTGATTTGTCTATGTGTTTATGATGAGGGATATTGAAGGAAACACAAACAAACACACACACACACACACACACTGGAGCACCCACTCCACGAGAGAAAGACCAAATCAGACTTAATCTGCATATAAAAATTATATAAGTAATATAAATATAATTAATGTAAATATATGCCAAAACGTGCTCGTTGGGTTACCTCTTGTTTTCAAAAAATCTTTTTCGCTATTTGAAAAGTATCATCTTCGTAATTATCAACCTCTCGGATACGCTTCTTAACCTGTTTCTAAGAGACTTTGTTCCCACATTAGCCTTTAACATTTGCAAACCAATGCTACAGTTTTCCGGTATCCGAAGAACATAGATGATATTAGTGGCAGATACGAAAATAAATTGCCAAGTAATTGAAGGAAGACATATATTTAAGAACTAATATTACTTGTATTTTGCAGAATATCACGTACAGTTTTGTTAAAATATTTTCACTTCTTAGGAATGTAAGGGAATATATATTTTCACAATTTTCTGTACTGACTGTTCTTCCACAGGGATACAAATGACAACCACCTTATTTTTGTAGACTAGTTCAACATTCGCTAGGTTGTTCCCGAAACACTGTTTTTACTGTTAACTAATTTTGGTATACTTATGTCGTTGCACAAATTTACCTTTGTAATAATGTATCCTTCTACTATTTTACCAAACAAACAGTGCTATCATTTTACATGGAAATTCGAAACTGTGCATGCCTAACAAGCCTAGTGACTACTCGATGCGAGACTAACAATACACACTAAGTAAGTATATGATGCGAACACACTAGTTACAGAATACGTTGGGTAAGTTATTTTTTGTTGAATTAAATTTAGTGTGTGTTAATGTATTGATTTGTCGTGGGTTGTAGGTGATTGTAAATTGAATTTTGACATTATACCACCGTCTTGAGTAAGATTTCTCGTAGTATGAACGCTGTTTTCACTTGTAGAACTTGAAATACCAATTTCCAGGAAGAAAATCGAATACGTTATCTTCTTTTATTTCTCGGGTGAATTTGCTTTAACAGAAGTGTTTCACAGTTCTTCGATTCAGTGGTGAATTGATTCAGAGTCACGAAACACCTTTGCGAGTGCGTGAGAATTCAAACGACGATACATCCTCCTACACGCGTTTCGTGACGGTTGCTGGTGTTCAACCCGACCTTGAAATATTCATTAGCGCTTTTCGATTGATTTAGGACAGAATACTTCTTTTCAAGGGAGAGTGTGTATCGAAGGAATACCTTCTCTGCGCAGAAGCTTTTTGTGAATAAAATGCACGATGTAGCTTTTAAAAGTATCTTTTATTTCTTGTGTTTCTCTTTATGAATCATTCACGGTGACGTATCCTTTTTAAAAGTGCTGTATAGCCTGCAAAGAAGCATTGAAAGAATATTAAAGAAAAAAGATATATCTTTTGCGAATTGAACTGTAATTATTGCTGTATTTTACTGTACGCTGTAAAATGTAGTATTACCTTCAATTTCTGTTTGGAGTGGTACTCGCGACGGTTGGCTGTAAATTGCAGTCAGAAACTTCATGGACTGAAATTAAGATTTTTTACGACTTTCATTGATATTCTTATTTAATCTTGTATGGTGGGAGAATAACGAATATTGAAAGTACTTTAATGGGTGATTAATTCGTTTAGTGATTGACAAGATCACGATGGCAGGTAAAAGAATATATTTTTGTTTTCTCACAAGTTGTTTGAGGACAATTAATAACTAATCCTACAGCTTGAAAGGCCATATTGTAAGATGTAAAGGATACGCACGGACAACATTTGATCTCAGGACGAGGCACGGAAAAGTATCAAAACTTAGAATAATAAACACTGGTTGTTGATAAATTTTGGTTAAAACATAAATATATGTATTTTTACTTCCTTTTGCCTTAAAAGCACTAATGACTTCCAATTTACCTCAAGAATTACTGCTACTGTTGTGTATATTTCTGTGTTTTTTATACATTATTATTCGTTATTCATTTTTATTCAAATTTAGGTAGTTGTATTGCAACGTTTAATTTAAAGTTGAGAAGTTAAAATTCCGACAATTTAATATCAGGTTATATGAATTGGCCAAAAACAAATTTTCAATTCAATTTGTTATGATTTGAAGTATTGCAAAAACATTTGGATGCCAGATTTTAGGTGAAAATATTGTGTACACGATAGAATTCGTAGCTGTTCCTGCAGCTTGATTGCACGATCTAAACAAACGATTAGCCATTATATGTGGCGGACTTGAGTTACCTCGTCAGAAGAGCACAAACAATATTTACTAACGGAATTAATATTCTGAGCCAAAGAAACAACATTCAACAAATGTTTCACCTCATACTACAACCGGCATTGTGAACACTGTAATGCGAGTCAAGATACTGACGCTGCGTTTTTGTTGGCTGATTTAGGTGGTTTGAGTTCTGTGTTGAGGGAGGGTGTCATTTCTGTTTTGTACAGAAGCTTCTAAAATATAATCATAACTTTTTTTTTACCAATTCTCTACCATTGAGTAATTGGTCAAAAAGTGGATATTTTTGCATTATCAACTAAATAATGGAATCCTTTAAAGGGCTGGAGCATATTGCAAAAACTTGATTTCTCAAAATACGTTTGACAAATGATAACTCAATTTGTGAATCTTCAAAAAAAATAGAAATAAAATAATGCAAGTACGAGCACCAATTGCTGAGAATTGTAAGATTTTGGAGCTCGCAAGCTTAAGGAGGTATATGGTAAATAAATCGGTAGTGCTCGTCAATTTGTTTAAAAAAATATGATCTCTTTTGCCCATTCGAATGCGCACGGCAATTCGATATGGAAAGTGTAGGCCAGAGAGAGTGGTATTCTGAAGTCGGTGAGCTAAGCATTATTTTGATCTCGTCCGCGAAGTCTATGAAGCGCCGCCTCGTGATTTTCATTCATTTGTTCAGTTCATTTGTTGAAGTTTAGCTCAGCGCATCTCGTGTGTACTGAAGAGGAGAGACCCATCTGAAAAATTCCATTTTGGAGAAGAGCAGTTTTAATTTGCGCTGTGACTTTTACTTCATGGTCAACGTGATACTTTATATTTCGAGTATTTTGTAAGCTATCTTTATGAACGTTTTTATGGTGAAATGTACTATTTTCTAATTATATTTCTTCACTTAACTGAAATATTACGGTCGCTTTTCTTGGGAAACACACTGTTTTTCGTATAGAGTGGGTGTTGTAAGTTCATTCGTGACTCGAGACAACCTGTATGATCGCAATTCTGTGTGGTAAGAAGGATACTACACGTTTTCTCGAATGTTGATTGGTATTGTATTTAGAGTTTATCACATATTTTAAGTGTGATTCAGTGTATATACCTGGTTCGGGGCAAGTAACAGACCTGGATTCGTGATACAGGCCCTGAATGTTCATCCTCAGGCGAAAGGTGCGTGCTGACCTCGAAAAACCCGTTGTATTCGTCGTCCTTCCTTCTTCGAAACGATGTAAGGGGTGTGTGATACAAATCTTGAAAACCAGGGTAAAACCGTGGTAAATTAAAGAATTCGAAGCTGGGATATTGATTTGAAATTCGAGAATGTTCCATTATTTTCAGTGTTGCCTGTCTTCATTAAGACAGTTTCAGATCTGCCCTCGTGTTGTGTGGAACGATAGTAGTATACAATTGAGCAACGATATTTGTATACTACAGAGATATAGTACAAATTGGCCACGGCATAATTCCATGTTCGCCTTAGGATATTATAAGTACATGATACTCTTTTCATTCTCTAAAATAACGATTGCGATGTACATTGTTGGAATTATGTTGGTGAATGCAATGGACATATTATATAAGTATTAACTTTTACTAGTGTTTACAAACATAATTAAAATTTTATTCATAATGTTCCCATCAGTTGTGGATCACCTTGAGCATTGTATGGATACGAATTAGAAAAATTGAAAAAATCATTAAATAAAAGCAAAATCCCCATCGTAGGCCACCTTGTCCAAGCGTTGCAGCGAAACCTTGAGCACTGATTCATGTGAGGAGGTGTGGGCAATTCCGTCGGCAGCTGGAGGCCGTCGCACTTCCGAGAAGCGCAGTCGGAAGCCCCGATGTCTGGGGCGAGCGCCGGAGCAGAGCAGAGCGGAGCGGAGCGCGCGACTGCGACACCCGCCGGGCGGGGGCAGGGGGACGCGGCAGCCACGCGCGTATGCGTAGGCGCGCCGGTCCGCGCAGCCCGCCTTCGC